CCCAATCCAAATTTTGGGGGAAGGGTTGCCTTTTTTTTTGTCCGGGGGGGGTTTAACCAGAAAATATATTACCGAAGGGGGGCCTTTTTTTTTAAAACGGGTTTCTTGGCAAAAAAATAAAAAAAAGAAAGGGCCCGGGCCCTTTTTTACATGGACCGGGGGAAATACCACCAGGGGGGTTGGTCAAATTGCCACCGGGGGAACAAAAACTTTTAAAGGGGGCCAGAAACCAAAAAACAGGGCGAAAAAAAACCCCGTTCCCTTTATTTCCCCCTTTCCCTTTTTGGAGGAGGGGGCTTTTTGGGGGGGGCCCTTTTTGATTTTTTGGGAAACCGGGAAAAAACCCCCCTTTTCTTTTTTTCCCCCCTTCCCCCCCCCACCAGTAAGGGGAGTTTGGGGGGGGGGGGGGGGGGGGCACACATGCAAGTTGAGTTCTATAAAGTAAACTAGGTTTGGCTATACGCCCAAGGAAGCCGTCTCCTTCCACGCAGTACTACTGCCATAGGATGGGACACATAGGTCCATCGGGGCGTGCGCTGGCGCGAGGAGAATGCCATCATCACCGGCCCGAGATTCGCGAGAAGCAAACCATTAAAAAGTAGTTTTCTCCGCAACACAAACCTCAACTAAGCTCAGTTTCCAGCAGGCACCACCTCTGGATCTTCACGACTGCTATCAAGACTTCAACATGCCCCCTTGAGGATCATATCTTCGTGGATAATCCTACTGCGGTGATACTACGCTCCACCGCAAGAAAATGTCTGCTGATATCTAGCCATCGAGGCAGGAGGCACGATATTTCGAAGGACGCCTCGTGAGGTTTCCCGCAAGGCACGCCATCGTCACTCCGCCGAGTCTCACTCGACACCGGCTTCCAAGCACACACCTGGAAGGGGAGATCCGGCTTCGATTCCGGCGGGGGGCACCAGCCGTTCTTCAAGACGAACTCAGGGGTGGTTCGGGGCGGGTAGGCCAGTTGCAGAGACTCCAGGTCCACGGGGCCGCTTTCTAGAATTCGCCTGGAGGTGGGGAGAAGGGCACCAGGGTTCGAAAAACGTTGACAGATATCTACGTGCTGTTCCGTACGATGCACCATGAACAGTAACCCGGCAAAGGAGGAGGTCGTGGGGTTGTTGGATTGTACATGCCTTTGAGAACACTGATGCTTGCTTGGCAATTCTAAGGAGACGGGTTTGGCTGGCGCGGGGAGGGGACACTTCTTTGGTCTACATCATCTCCATCGCTTGTCCCTGGCTTGAATTATCACCAACTTTCGTCATGGTGACTGTCACACCGAGTAGGTTCGCTCATGGGCATGTGTACATCTGCACCTTCGGGTGGGGGATAACCAAGACCTGCCTCAGGTAATGCATGTGTCGTTCAATGTTAGCAACTGCTGTTGAGGAATAGCCCACGTTCGCAAGTTGTCTGGACAGGCAAGGCGGCCGCAACTAACCTCTAGTCAACCAACACGTGATCATTCCAAGAGACGCGAAAGCATGGATGACATGATACTGCTGTAGCATCAAGAAGTGAAAGGTGAACCACACCGCCGGGCGAAGAGTATACATGTCGCCAAAGTTGATTTTGAGATGAAATCACTCGATTTCACTGACGTCTCTCAACAGCAGTTCTACTCTAACACGAACACAGAAACAGCAAGGAGAGGCGTCCATAGATCTACATTTACGAAACAATCCTGCTTGTTGGACAACGCAACATTCGATTGAGCACCCACGTATAGAAACACCCACAGCATCAACAGCAGTTGTAGTCGACAGGGATGTTCTACTGTACTCCGCACTGCAGTAATCCTGTGTATCTGCAGGGTCCGAGGGGTCGTAAAAAGGGTGCATGCTGATGCAGAGCATGGCGCATAAGACTTTCCAGCAGCTCTTAACATAACGAATTTCGCCAAGAAACCTACCCAGCTATAAAAACGCGTATGCAACGTCGGCTAGCTTGCTCGTCTCACCGCGCCTCGTTCCTCTCCGCTTGCGTCTCTCTCGCTTGCTTGGGGTTGAATCGCTTCAGGGCGCTCCTCGACCTCACCCTCATGGGGCAGAGGGATGAGGCCACACGAAACACACAAGGACTCCGTTGCATGGTCGATAACCTTATCCAAAGGCAGTACGGGGAGTGGTGTACGCGAAGGGCTGGCTAGCTCAGGCAGGGGAGCGATCGATCGACACACGCCGCCAGCAGAGGCGGAGTAGGGAGAGGCATAACGCCTCTCGAACCAATTGGTTCGAAGGCATACCTCTCGATTGGAATCTCCATCAAAGGCCCCCCAGTATAGTTGGTTCCAAAGCACCTGATGTGCCGGTACAAAGGCTTCAACCCACGTCATGAGAAGTTGACCGTGGACCACGGGCCAACAAGATACTTTGCACCGTCATTTTCGGGCACCTGCGTTCCACCCCTCGACCCCTCAAACCCCCTCGAACCCCCGGAAGTCTGGCCGAGCTCCGCTGCCCTCTCGACCCCAACGTACTTACCCGCGTGGGGCGCTTCCGAAAGCCACGGGCAGGCGCGCAGGAGAGGCACGCAACCAAACGCTTTTGAATTCAAAAACGCACGCACGCAAGGGCGCGAACAGCTGACAGCAGTCCAGCCTCACTTCTCACCAGCATCCATTTTGAGAAAACATGTCAAGCCGTGGGGGACCGCAGCAGGGGCTGCGCGCCGAGCAGCTGAACTCGCCGTACAAGAGGGCTTCACACAGGTGGGTCCGGTGGTGTAGAAAGCGGCGCGGCAGAGGTGGAGAGTGGAGAAAGCGACAAGGGTTGCGCTGCTTCTTCTCTAGAGTTTTTTCATGTGAGATGATATGATTCTTTCTGCCTTTCGAGGTCCAAACATCGCTTCCAAGTTCCTCTCTGGCGCCTACAAGTTCAAGCACAAACGCACGTGATATCCAAGCGCAGGCTTGTTGAAGTAAACCCTCTCTCCCTCCAGCGCTAGGCAACGATTGCTCGCCGGTGCTTCTCGATACCGTTGCGCGCGATGATACCTCTGCTGTAACATGCGCTCTCCATCAGACCTGTTATCCCGTGCATTTTCCCCACCCCACACACAATGGATCTTCAAAACTACCGCGACAAACGCAGCAGCTGTTGCGCCCACCCGCCCTTTGAGAGGAACCCATGCTTCCTCAGAAGGCGCCCTTCCAGCCCCACCTCGCCCCCCGCCTCAAGAAGGGCAGCAGCAGTAACGCACATGGCTTTCCTACTCATGTTTTTGGTGCGCGCTCTATACATACATATACATACCTCCTCTCCCCGCCCGAGAGTCAAACAAATATTGCGTGCTTTGCACCCTACAATCCGGAGTGTCCCGCCCGATTTTTTGAATTTGTTTGTCAAGATTCAAAATGGGCGATCGCGATTGATTCCAAAGTTGGGTTGTGCGCACGCAACAGGAGCGTTACCATGCTCGCTGTTGCTTGCAAATGGCAGCGCGCTCTGTAGGATTATTAGTTGGGTCCACACAGGTGTCGTGCCGGACATGCTCATCATTGATGGCGTCCATACGAGATGGCGGCGTGACTTTCACCTGCTTCTTCTCTTTTCCGCGTAGACACGCGCGCCGCTCGCTACAATAATGGATCGCCTTTAAACGAACGACGGGAGGGAGTTGAATGAAAAACAGCACTGGTCGTGTCTGTACGTAGCAACGATGAACTTACAACTGTACCTTTTTTGCCACGATCCGTGAACATTTCGCTCGGGTATGTACATACTGCTGTAGTTCGGTAGGAAACAAGCAAAAACGCGCGCATTTGTTCCAAGTTCCAAGCCGTGATTTTTTTGGTTCGACGTGTTCTCGGAGCAAAGCATTAAGGAACAATAAAAACATGTATTGCGTGGCGTACAAAACGTCCCTGGGTCCATTGTGGCGTTTGACCCCGGCTGATGCGCCCAGAAAACACGCGGAAGGGTGTAGAAACAAACGTACGTCCAGAGACGATACACCCACAGGGTAATTAATCATGCTTTTTTCGCTTTTCTAACACAGGAGAAAGAAGCAGATGACGCAACAGGAACGCTACGTGGTGGTGTTGTATCTGATCTGTGGTATCCATGTTGGAATAGTCCGGAGGCTGACCCAGGCGTCAAACCTCCTCCCCGGCGCCCCTGCGGGGAGCCCGAGCCCCCGAGTGTTCCACATTTTTTTACCCCGCCATGTCATGTTAGACTGACGGTCCTTCGTTGATTGGTCAGGGGGGTCAGCGCGATAGATGCCAAGAATGAACAGGACGCGCGCGAACATCGGGGTGGAAACTTACGGCGGTTCCCAGACGAACAAGTTGTAGTGCGAGTGAATGGGGCGAGTGAGGGAGATCCTGAAGCAGGCTGAGACGGAGTCCCGTGTAGTAGGTGATGATGATGCAAAAGCAAAATAGCTGCCAGCGCGAAGACAACGATGAAGATGACGAGAGCTATACATCATGAATTGAACGAGTGGGGGGTGGTTCTCAAGGAGTGCTGCTGCCCTCCTTCCGGCGGAGTCCGATCACTACAGAGTTGTATCCGCTTTTTTTTTTCCCCCGCTTTAAGACGGACGTCTTTTGATCAGCCGGTTAGCGCTGTCGACGCTACTTAAGAGATATATGGAAACCCTATATATGGAAACCCGCACACGCACAAACCGCACACGAATTCCCCCCCCCCGCTGACACGGCGTCTTATCATTGGCCGGCCGGTTTAAGCTAAATCGATGCCATGTAAAGAAACACACGTCGTTCCTTCGCGTCTTCCTATCGGCACGCGCGTTCGTGTCTCACGGAGACAGCCGAACTGGTTGCTGCACGTTTCAAGCACAGCATGCCGGCAACGGCTCAGGCAGCACGTAAAGTGCCCCGATATGTTCCGCCTGTCTTTTCATCGCATGAAAAGAAAAGGTACTAGACTCAAGTATACTCTTCCCTGGGTTGATGCCTGTGTGCTGCTACTCGGGAAACATCCACACAAGCAGTACCGCCGCAATGTCCCTCGTAATCCCCTCCCCTCCACCCCCCCCCCTTGATGATAACTCATCGCACCCCACTCACACTACCTCCTGACAAAAACCTCCCCCCCCCGTCCTCACAGCGGCACCTTCGGAGGCGTTCCCGGGGACAAGGAAAACGCCGGCGCCGAGGCCCGCGCCGCCGCCGTCGCCGAAGGCAAGCTCGCCGTCGAAGTGTCTCACCACCTCAAGGGTGCGCTCTCCCCCGGCGTTCGCGGCACGCAGTGGCAGCACTACCACCAGCCGTCGACTCCTTCGAGGGCGAACAACGTCCCGTCAACGCCGCCATCGATCCCTTTCACCGGTTCCGCCGCTGAAACCGCCACCGCCGCGGCCGCCGCCGGGCGTGCTGGTTCCGGTGCCGGTGGGGCGGTGCTGCCCCTCTCCCCTTCCGCCACGGCGGCGCGCTCGATGAACGCGTTGGGCCACTCCACCTTCGACCGTGGCACCGGCTTCTCGCTCTCCGCCGCCAGAAGAGTCTCCGTGAGGGCCGTTCGGGCAAGGAGCGGCAGCGGCAGCGGCGGCGGCGGTGGCGATGGGTTTACGCACGCGCATTCGCCTGCGGTGGTGCTGCGCGTGCCCCAGGGCAGACCGACTAGTGCGAGGAAGCTTATGGCAGGCGGCAGGCGAGAGGCGCTTGAGCGGGGGGATCTTGAGCTGGACGTGGCGGAGGTGCGTGTTAGCCAATGGTCGGTGCAAAATTTCCTGTACATATTGGGAAACGGGGGCATAAAACTCGTTTTTATTCTGCTCTGCTTTTTTGCGGACACTAATGTTCTAGTTTTTAGAGTTGAACGTGTTTTTGAGGCAAGCGTGGTTTGTCAGGCCCCCGGTGTTTCAGTCTCCGATGAAAGCCGCATTGTGGCAACATCTACCAACTATTTCGGTTCGAACATTAGCCTCGCGTCCTGAGTCCCGTTTCAGTGCGGTGCCGTCCAAGTGAAGCTTTTCCTTGCCATCGACAGCACAGCTGCAGCGGGGAACTCTTGCTCGGTTTTATACGCCAAATACCGATTTGGTCGTGTGCAGCAGCGCGCCGGACTTCATACCCGATCGTTCTCGAACGTGTAGGCAACCAATAGTGGAACACCCCCCCGTAATATTTGTTGTACGCCATCCTGGACCCGCATTTATAGTTAAGCCCCAACCGCCGCCCCCCCCTCCCCAATATTCACCGCGGCTTCCTCGAACAGACCAAACACCACAACCCGCTGTGCTCTAAGCTCTCCTGATGGCCCTCTTTTCCGTTTGGTGTGCATCCGTACCACCGTACCACAGGTGTCTCCTTCCCCGAAGCGCAGTAGCAACGATTCGGAGAGAAAGGCCCCGTTCTCGTCTTGCGAGTCGGAAACACCCAAGCGCGGCCGGTCGCCGTCGGTGGCGGCGGCGGGGCTGACGCTGCTTCCCCCGATAAGCTGTGACGAGGCGGTTTCGTGGGAGTTCGAGGTGAGCTGGGCATGCTTCACCCCGCCGCTCGGTTACCTTCTGCGGTTTGGTGGAAGCCTGAATGGCTTAGATGTTGGGGGCTTCCGTGTGTGTGTGTGTGTGTGTTTTTTTTTTTTTTCTCTCTTTTGTCTTCACTTCAAATCAGCGCTCACAGCACTTGTGCCGCCTACTCCATCCCGTGGTGTGTAGGTGTGTAGTTTTCTGGCTTCGGTGGTGACACGTACACTAGCATCAGTGCTTGGTGGCGGGGACGCGTTGCGCGGAAGCGGTGCACGCCTGAACCAGAGGTTATCCTTCGTGGTGTGTGCTACAGTACAAACGTACATGTTAACATTTCAACCTTTTCGCGTGGATGGAAAAGAACGAACGAAAATTCGTCTCCCTCTGCGAGTTTATGGCGCGACGGCGTTCCCCAAGGATGCGAAAAGTGAACGGGATGGTCCATCCGATCCTCACCTGGAAACAAGGCGCTCGGGAGACATGTAGAGTTTTGTCGCCCTCAATTAGCACAGCATGTTTACCATAGTTTACCAGATATCCCCCCCTTTCACCCACCCCCGATCACCGCCACCTTACCGTGCGAACTAATTCCATTACCCCTGGCACCGATGTTCACCGTAGTTTCACTCCCACCCACACACCCCATCCATTGTGCGAACTAATTCATCTACCGCTATGATTGCAGCCGATGATCACCGTAGTGTCATACCCTATCACCTCCACCCATTGTGCGAGCTCATTCCCCTACAGCTACTATTCCACCCGATGATTTACCATTTTGTTTCACCCACCCCCCTCGTTTCATTACACCGGCGGCAGGCAAAGGCGAGACGTCGATCCGCCGTCCGGAACGCCAAGACAGCCGCGGAGCTGTTCGACAGCAACAGCAGCACCTGCTGCGTCACACCCGCTGGCGGCGACGGCGACGGCGTCGGCGACAGCGGCGGCAGCGTGGGCGGGCGGTGGAGGAAACTCCAGGCCCGCGGCGGCGGAGGTTCCGCGGGGCCCCCGCGCCTGAAGCTGTCGGTCGAGAGCGCGGTGGCGGCGGCGGGGGAGGACGACGAGGTGCTGCTGTCGCCTTGCTGCCACGGCCCGGTCGACCTCCCCGCCTTCTGCGCCTCCCCGATCCTGGTGCCCTCCTCGGGGGTGAGGAGCGGCGGCGGCGGCGGCGGCCGGCCTCTCCGGGGGGGTGCTGAGGAGAACGTGCTGACGTCGTCTGTGGACAGCGCGTGGTCCATGGGGTCGATCGACGAGACGGCCGCCAGAGAGGTGAAGGAAGCGGCGTGTTCGTGGGGGTGGGGGGTTGCGTGGGAGGGCGTTCCTGCTGGTGTTTTAGCTTGCAATGCGTGGGAGTAGTCGCAAGGGTGGCCAAAGTTGTGTCCTACGGTTTTCATGGTCTTGTTTTTTTTCTTTATTTTTATTCGAAGTATCATGTTTTCTTACCGAAACACAACCGACTCATCTCTTTTGCTCATAGATCAAAGGGAAACTCTTGGTGGAAAATGACGTGCTGCGCGGTAACATGTTGTTCCGTTCTTGTACATATGCGTAGTCGGAAAGGTCTTCTTATGGTGATCGCAGCCGCCTTGGGTAGACCGCTCTTCCATCGAGAAGGCACGCGGGTCGAGAACGAAACGACGAAACAGAAAGACAGACGTCCCCCCCCGAACCAAGCGTAGCGTGCTAGAACGAACTCCGTTAGAAAAGGGACCTAGCCCACTTCTGGAAGGAACGAAAATAACGAGCCAAGAATGCGATGCTGGGCTTACCTTTAGACGTTGAGAAGAAAAGAACGTCCAGCCCACTCGGCACATAATCAACGCTCCATCTCGGGGACCCGGGCACAAACGGTTGGAATCGTCTCCCCCGCACGAAGATAGATAGCGGATAGGCGAAAGGCAGGCAGGGGTGCGACAAGAGGGAGCTGTTGTTGACTCTTCCTGCGCTGTGCTTACCGCTTGCCGTGCCGCGTTTTTGCTCTTGTAACCGCCGCCGCAGCCGAGCAACACGAGGAACAACGATAGGGCTTCGGGGGGCGACCCCGTCGCGCGGATGCTCCTCAGCCAGTCGGACGACTACGACGTGGGGGGTGTCGGATTCGGCGTCACCCCTCCCCACGGCCCCGACGGCGGCGGCAGCAGCAACGCTAGCGACAGCCCAGGCCTGTCGCGGATGAAGTCGGCTCCGAGTTTCGTCCAACACTATCGCCACTACCACCACCGTAGGCTACACCAACCGTCCCCTACCGCCGGCACGACGGTAACGTTCAGCACCCTGACTCCCAAGAGGAAGGGCGACTCGCCCTTCTCCTTCGAACGCGACGCTTCCGGCTGCGGTAACGTTGCCGTTGCCGCCGAAGGGGACAGAGGAGGAAAAGATGCGGCCCTTCTTCCATCCCCCCGCAGGGACGGCGGTGGTGGTGCTCTTCCTCCCGCCCTCGTCAGGACAGCCACGGCATCCCCTCGCGCGTTCTCCGTTGCCAGCGCCACCGGGGGAGGTTCCGCGGCTAGGGATCTCAGGGAGGCGGGGGCCCGCGGAAGCGATTTTGGGGCGAAGATCGGCGGCAGCGGGGGGCGCGGCCGTTTGTTGAATCCCGTAGAGTTCCGGCTCCACTGCCCGGGGGATCTGGAAGAGCAATCTGAGCGTGAACCCGATGTTGATAGATAGACACGAGCCTTCGTAGTTGTTGTAATTGTTTTCGGAGATTTTTGCTGGTGAGGCTGATCACTTTTGGCGGCGGTGGTTGGTGGTGCCGCGAGAAAACACCCGCGTTTCATCAGTCGAAGGTTTTACTGCTGTGTATTGGATAAGAGTTAACTGGCCTTCATAGCAACTGTGACGTCCCTTTCGTATGTTTGCGTATCTCCTCCTCGAATCGAACCGCCGGTCGTTGTTTCCTATCCTTTTGGTCCTTCAGCCCCCCAGCTTACGCGTTGTGCTTCTGCTGTCTTGTTGTTGTTCCATTGGCACACATTTGCTTTTTATGGTGAATTTGCATTCCCAGTGCCGTGTGTTTGTTTCCTCGATTTCATTGCATTTCTTCATATTTCGCATGCAATGCGTTTGATTGATCCGTGACCTCCAACTAACCTGGAGCCAATAAGGGGCAATATTTCTACCCAACCGCAACTCGGCGGAGACTTCCGAATTGTTTTTTGGTGAGGGTTGCTCGCAACGCCGCGCTCTCACCTCTATGGCGATAAGCATGGTGTTGTTGCTCTGACGTGGTAGCCTGCGCACTACATCAGCCCTAGCCCTCCCGTACGCAGGCGGTCAGAATTTTCTGTTAATTTTCTGGTGGTTGTCATCGGCCTCTGTTCCCGACTTCGCTATTCCTTTTTTTTGTTCGCGGTAACTCGCCATGGACGCCGGTTGGGTTGTCTCTGCTTGTTGCCTTGCCTTGTTGTTGTTATGCTGCTGTAGTGATTTGTTGGGTGTTTTCTATAGTTGTTGTACGCTGCCTTGCATATTTTCATCCTTGTTTAACTAAAGAGAGTTAGTTGTCCATTTCAGCCTGTTGCGGGATAGAAAGAGCGGGTCAAGCGCCGCAAGAGCTCCCAAGCAGCAGCATCGTTTTGTTCGTGTACACGCAGAAGTACAAAGCACGTAGGTTGTAGAACCTCGGTATTTTATCGCCGAATCATTTAGGATGTTTTCTTAGCCCACCAGCGGATGGCGCGGGGGGTGGCGGCTGCGCCGATAGATGTCGTAACGGTTTTTCCTTATTTACTCTTGCTTGCCACGTGCCATACATACCCTTGATGAGCTTTTTACCGCTGAAAGGCACGATCGCACCGTAGCACCGTATTCTGGCAACAGCAGCGCATGGCAAGTTATCGGTTCTTCGCTAGAGCCGTGTCCAGCGGCGTAGCAGCAAGCGTGTAGTCGCTCGACGTTGCGTGGTGTTCTAGAAGCGTACTACAATAGCCCGCCATTTTTAATGTCGAGAGTGAAGATTATGGCGGATGTGCCTCTGATAACCCGGTCTCCGGCCCGCTGATCGTGGAAAGGTGTTGAAAACCACCCTCCTTTTCACGACCCGGGGGGGGGGGGGGAGTCCGTTTATTGTTTATTGCAGAGGTAAACGATTTTCGAGTGTGCAATGGATGGAGTTAAGGAGCGGAGTTCGATGGTACATGTCGACAGACACGAGGGCAGACTAGACCCCCACGGAGGGATTATGAGAGTGTACTGTAGCCCCAAATCAAGAGGGCGGGCGTGGAATTAGACTAGACGGGGACCCAGAGGGCGGGGGAGGGGCATCTATCTGTGTCCCCGTTCAGCGGGAGTGAGTGGTTGTGCGGAGAGAGAGAGAGCGAGCAGCGGCATTCAGGAGCAATGCCGTCTTGCTGTACTTTCGGGAAGATTTAGCTCGCTCCTTTCCGCTTCATCCTCCTCATCGTGTGTTCTACAGAACTCACTCACACTCACCCTGATGAAAATGACACTGAGTTTAGGAAGTACAAGAGAGTGGTGGGTGCGTGA